TATTAAACAATATAAATTAGGTTTTATATTTAAAATCAAAAAAGTAAGACATTAAAAATGTTTAAGAGAATCAGATATCATGGAACAAAAACCGAGAATTAGACCATGACATGTCATGAACTAAATGAGACGTAAGATACGAGTCCTGAGTTACGACGACTCTTTTAAAACAGTATTAATATATATATATATATATATATATATATATATATTCAAATATAAAAGGGTCTAGTCAAATGAGAACTAATTAGTTTGTGGTAACCGTGAGGTCCACTCTCAACCACAAATCAATAGATAAATTAGGAAATTTATAATTTTGGTAATTTTTAATTAAAAATTTAACGCAAAGACATTTTAGGTATTTTCTCTCCTCTCTCTTATCTCCTCTCTCCTCTCTCCGTCTCCTGGCCTCCGTCCCCCGACCTTCGGCCATCGTCCTCCGGTGATACCACAATGGTATCACAATCTATCTTATATGTGTTTGGATATCACATTGAGTTCGTTTCTGTGATCGATCGGATATGTAACACAATGGTATCACAATGCATCTTATATGTGCTTGAGTATCACACTGTGGTATCACCGGAGGACGGTGGCCGGAGGCCGGAAGGCGGGGACAGAGAGAGAAGAGAAGAGAGAAAATACCTAAAATGTCCTTGCATTAAATTTTATTTAAAAATTATCAAAATTATAAATTTTCTAATTTATCTATTGATTTGTAGTTGAGATTGGATCTCACGGTTACCAAAAACTCTCTCTCTCTCTCTCTCTCTCTCTATATATATATATATATATAGAGAGAGAGAGAGAGAGAGGGTCAAGTTAAAATGTTAACCAAAGTTTTTGTGTTAACTTTGTTAACCGATCTTGGCCATTCAATCTTTCAATAAGCGGTTGTGATTAATCATGATAAAAACTTATTTTTTTAAATTTAGAATTTCATAAATATAAGTGAACAAAGTTGAAAAGGGTATTTAGGTAAAAAAAATTATGTAACTCCCATATCATTAATTAATTGGGAGTTACAAAATCAAAAATTCTATGATTTTGGTTAATTTATATTTTGTTAATGTAAGAACCATATGAGCACACAACTATATATATATATATATATATATATATGAACCATTGTGTCAAATACGAACAAAAATTTGGCATATATATGAACTTGGACTGCATAGCATTTATGAACACAATATGAACATAATAAGAATAACTGCTATACGAAAGTAAATAAATAAAAAAACAGGTATGAACACGATATGAAYAGCTTGTGAACAATAGTTCATTTATTATAAACACATTCAGGAGCGATCTTTTGTCAATTGGAGTTTTATACATGAATTGCATCCACACCGTTTAAGGTTCACCCTTGTTCATATATGTTTCTGATCTTATATGGTTGTTCACCCCTTGTTCATATCATGTTCACCCCTAGTTCATATCGTATAAAATATATGAACACATAACCCCAACGTTATGAACACCGGTGTAAACACTTACACAAATATAAAAATTTGGTATCAAGCTTAAAAAATAACACTTGTGTTCATATGATAGAAGTAACATGAACACAATGGTTCATGATTCATAAAAGTCGGTAATATGACAATATGAAAATGGGTCGTGCATGTACTTACATTTGAACATGTGAATTAGGTACGTATTTTAATAATTAAAGAAAAAAGCTATCAATACAAGATGAATTATAAAAAAACACAACACATCGTAATGAACATAATTTCGATTAAAACGAATCTAAAAATAATAAATATTTATTACCAAGACATTCGCTTTGGTTAATTTCTTCAATTCCCAACCTCGAACTCCAATTGTCATCATAAACCATTTTAATTTTCTCACTGTTGTCGATTTATTTCCATAGCGTTTATCCATATTAGCTTGATCGATACCGAAATTTTTTACTACCTTTTTTTCTATGCGAATTAAAAACTGATAAAACAATGAACATGCAAGATCAAGATTAGCACAGGGGTTTGTATTGGTTAAGCAGACACTATGCACACACACCTATTGGATTTTGAGTCTAGCTATTTTGAGTCTAGCTACTGTAAACAATACCCAATGACATTCTCAAGCCACATATAGATCTATATAGAAGCTTACATTAGCAGTCAATTGGATATCATACAATTAAATAGATATTAACTGTGATTCATAAGCATACAAACACAATTAAATAGATATTAGTAGTTGAACAATTCCAAACATAACCAAAAATAAGAAAGTTCCACATGAGACCTTTGTTGGTATGCTCACATCAACAGAAAGATATATATGTACACAYTGTGCAACTACATATACAGCAGGCAGGCACAGGGGTTTAGAACATGTTTAGAACACATACAATTTAGAATAAAAATGAACCAAAATAAGCAGTATTATTACATGAACATGTAACAGTTGTTGTATCTAAACACACAAGTTTGATTTTCTTCATTAATGGCTATTTTGRTGAAATTMTTGAGTATTAATCTTGTAAACAATAATATAAACATGGTTAGATGGTATTTTGATTGTTAGAAT